CTCAAATGTTCAAATGACCAAAAATACCCTAAACTCTAAAAAGACAAATACTTTGAAGCCTAATTTATCGAAAGTATTGCTACTGACAAAATTGAATAGAATGACTATACTACGCTTAAAATGTAAAAAGGACTATGGATTGTTATGATAATGGAGATGACCTGAGAACTCAAATTTTGAATCGCTTGAATCTTGGAATCACCGATTAAATTCTTGATCTATTGAAAAACCCAAAAATCAAAATTTTACATATGGAATTTCTTAATACGACGATCCCTTTGTTTTTGAATGATCATTTGAGGATTAGATTGATGAAATTGCGACACGTCAGTGAAGTATTTAAATGATGAATTATTCTCAAGTTTAGAAATAACTAATGTGTATGGACCCCAAAATGACTAAAATAGTCTCGAATACCGAGATGACCTAAATACCTTTATGACTTGGATTAAGTGAATGTCGTTGGATAGACTATGGGAACATCGATGAATCTAAATGATGTACTGCCTTTAAAGGTTATGGAGCACGACCCAAGTCGTCAGACATTTTGGGATACTATTACAACGTGGAAATGAAATAAATACCAATGAAATACCTATTCGTCTCCTCAAGAACTGATCAAGGATGACTCTGATATTGATCAGATCAACTGCTGCAGTCAGTAATAAGAAGTGAATAATAGTGAACTATTACGGTCCTAATGATTGACAAGTATCGTAATATTGGGATATGTAGTTCAATCGGACTCGAAATCCTCATAATTCAATGCATAATCTTGAATACCATAAATCACTGCTTTATCCTTATTGAGTTAAATTAATGATAATTCTCCAAGAACCAAAATCTCTAGAATACCACTATTTGTTTGAGTAAAAGAATCGTTCCTGACATACTTGAAATCTTAAGTAACTCTGATGCACAAGATTCTATGCCTTCCTTATACTCAATTGCGTACGAAAAATATCTGAATATTGTACGATCTTGATAAATCACTTCCCGAATGAATGATAAATCAATTAACTATCAAACCCCCTTTTATAGGGATCTTGATTCTAAAATCCTATTAAATTACAAAAGTTTCATGGTTCCATATCAGATAAATACCAAGTATCTCCGAATAATATTTAGATCCTCTAGTGTGTTCCTTATTTGACATGTAAATGTTTTACCTGTTTTAAACGTGATTTTGAAATCACTAATTTATTGTTTTATGAACTATGGTTACTTGAAATATGTTCTCTGGTTATCAGTTTTCATTGTAAAATATTTATTGTAAAATATGATCGCTCCTGATTTATGGATTATGGAATCAACTGGATTATGAACTATGGTTACCTGAAATGTGTTATATGGTTTCCTGTTTTCACTGGAAAATATGATCGTTCCTGATTTATGGATCATGAAATATGCTGTTACTACTTGAACTGTTTATTGGGATATTATCTGGGTAGGCTGGAGTATGGAGGTTCAGTTCTGATCAAGCTGGTAAATCCTTACAAACTTAAGGTGACCCTTGGGTAAGCTCTGAGGCTCCGAGAAACTTTATTGGGCAGGTTCTCAAGCCCCAAGGCATTCCCCTTGGGTTAATTATGGAACTACATATGGTGTACGGATGAAGGACATTTATATGATTTATTTTATTGTCACGTTTATGAGATTTTACTGGATCACGATCCATATATTACGGTTTACTATTAAATCTGATTTCTATGTATATTGTATGAGTAGGATTCTGGAGTATGGAGGTTCAGCTCTGATCAAGCTGGTAAATCCTTGAAGACCTAAGGTGACCCTTGGGTAGGCCCTTAGGCCCCAATGCATTCCCTTAGGGTGGCTCATTTGTTGTGTGCTTAGAGGTTGTTTGGTTCGGGGAATGTGGGATTCCCATGGGAATGAAATCCACATTCCTCCGTTTGGTTAGCCGGTAATCTCATTCCCGATAATGTAACAGTGAATTTTTTAGGGTATTATGAACTATGGTTACCTGAAATGTGTTATATGGTTTCCTGTTTTCACTGGAAAATATGATCGTTCCTGATTTATAGATCATGAAATATGCTGTTACTACTTGAACTGTTTTATTGGGATATTATCTGGGTAGGCTGGAGTATGGAGGTTCAGCTCTGATCAAGCTGGTAAATCCTTACAAACTTAAGGTGACCCTTGGGTAAGCTCTGAGGCTCCGAGAAACTTTATTGGGTAGGTTCTCAAGCCCCAAGGCATTCCCCTTGGGTTAATTATGGAACTACATATGGTGTACGGATGAAGGACATTTATATGATTTATTTTATTGTCACGTTTATGAGATTTTACTGGATCACGATCCATATATTACGGTTTACTATTAAATCTGATTTCTATGTATATTGTATGAGTAGGATTCTGGAGTATGGAGGTTCAGCTCTGATCAAGCTGGTAAATCCTTGAAGACCTAAGGTGACCCTTGGGTAGGCCCTTAGGCCCCAATGCATTCCCTTAGGGTGGCTCATTTGTTGTGTGCTTAGAGGTTGTTTGGTTCGGGGAATGTGGGATTCCCATGGGAATGAAATCCACATTCCTCCGTTTGGTTAGCCGGTAATCTCATTCCCGATAATGTAACAGTGAATTTTTTAGGGTATATTATCGGGAATGTCATTACCTCCCTTCCCTTAGGTATTTTGGATTATCAGCATTTTGGACTAAAATGCTCTAATTTTTTTTCAAAAATATCATTTTTCTGTCATTGAATAATAAAAATTCTACGAAGGTTAAATTATAAATTTATCCTTAAACTATTTTAGATTTACAAAAAAATGTCTATAATTAAAATTTTATATAAAGTTCAGGGGTTAAAATAAAATTTTACACTTTCATTAAACCTTTTTATATTTTCAATTTTGTAAAAAAATTATATAAATTTTATGAATTTAAATTTTTTAAAGAAAATATATAAATATCTTATAGTAATATTATAGTAGAATTCAACTTGTAAAAAAACAAATATATAATAAGGACAATTTGGTCAAATATACATTCCAATAATCTTTTATTCATTTAACCAAACACAGTATTCTTACATTCCTACTAACCCAACCAAACACAAAATACAACATTCCCAGTAATCCAATTCCCTGGTAATCTTTTATTCCCACTGGTAATCTTACATTCTGTGAACCAAACGCACCCTTAGGGTAAGACCTTATGGATGCAGTTCTGGTGAACTGCATAAAGGTGTTCGGTTGGAGGGTTTTATTATGGTTTTAAAAATATGTTTTAAATTGTTACTGTTTTAGAAATGTTCGTATCTCTTCACTAGTTTTGGTTGGAACACACTATCCTAATATGATCTCTTAAAAGCTTGATACTCTGAATGTTTCCTATGAATTGAAATCTTCCTGGTTTTTACTCGATGAAATATCATTGGAACCTTAGTTCATTACGAAAACCTGTAGATTGCTAAATCAATACGGAAAATTTATGATGTTTCTTTTATCTGCATGTCCTTCAGCATCACTTAGTAGTTCTGTATTATTGAGTTTCCTAAAGCTCACTCTTTTACTCATCATTTCAGGTTAAAAGAATCAAATCAATGCAATTATCGATATCAGTAAAGGAGTTCCACTTGCGTTGCTTGCGGAGTACGGTGCATATGATTAGGAGGCATGTAGGTTGTATTTTGTTTTTATATCATAGTCTGAATCTGTTTTATTTCTGAGTATTGTTAAAATTTACTTTTGTATCTATAATTTTTTTTATGATTTTAGGTGTTTTAACAAAAAAAATTCAATTTTCCTGAATTTTTATTGTGGATCGCTCCGGTGACCCTAATGTGACACTCCGAATCAGATCGGGTCACCTTCATCGGTATGTGGGTGTTACATTCTTTAAGTTTATCATTTCTATTTAAAAAAAAAGTCAACAAATTTAAACTTTAACTATTATTGTTTTAAATATTTTAAAGAATTACATTTTATAAAATATATATTTAAAAATTACTTATTTTAGATTTTTAAAATATATTTTTTATATGTTTATCAATAATAAATTTTAAATAATAATAAGTCAAAGTTAAATTTTTTGACAAACAAATCAATAAGTTATAGATTTAATGAGATAGAGAGATTACTAATTAGGGATGAAAAATGGGCGGAATAGGTGCGTATACTCATTCCCTTATCTTTCATAGCCGCCTAATATTTTCGTATCTACCATATACGACAGATAAAACTTTTAAATCTGTACCCGCTCAAGCGAATACATTCTCAAATCCACCCCACACCCATTACCTAATTGAATACCTACCACCCATTCCATATGCATTTGTACCCACCTCTACCTACATGGAAGCAACTTCAAAAATTACATAAGTAGCAAAATATAAAACAAACACATTTATTAAGAATCATAATAAAATAAATCAAAGATTAATTGAGTTTATACCTCAACATTTGGTTAAATTATAAGTTATGTCTTATAAAATCTTAAGATCTATATAATAGTATCTGAAATTATACATAAATTCATAATGGTCCAAAATTTATATGATGAGTAATTAGTGGGTGGGCATATGTGGGCCGGGCGGATACAAAGCGTATAAGATCTTAAACCCATCACCTACCCACTACCCATGATGTATGACTTTGTACAACCATATACGCTTACTATCCGCTAAACTTATACTTATCATCGCCAAAATTGGAATGGATACGACACGAAGTATACGAAATTATACTCATCTACCATTCCTAATACTAACTATATTAATTTAAAATAATGAAATTTTAATTATTTTCTAATTAAATTGATATTTGATATTAATACACCAATTCAATCAATAATAATATAAATTATTCAACATATCTGTAATTAAATGTCAATAAAAATATGTTTTATATTTTATTTTTAATTATAATTTATATAAAATAAAATATTTTTTTACAATCTAATTTTTACACAAAAATTTGCTACTCTCTTTTCAATATATATATATACACCTTACACATGCCATTAACCAACCCAGAAACTCCACGAAGCAAAAAGAAGAAAAAAAATCTCAAAGAAAACCTCTTTTACATTTCCCCTCAGGTCATTTTATCGCCTCCGCGCCGGTGCTGCTGCCGCCGCCACAATCCCGTCACCTAGCCTTAACCTGTTATCATCCACATTTTACGCTAACAATTTCTCCAAATTTACCTAAGAAATGAAATTTCTAGGGTTAGGGTTTTGGGGAACTCGATGAAAAGAAGAAAATAAAAGTAACATGGAAGATTTAAAGTACTCGGAATCAAAATCGGTGTGCGAGACGGTGAACGGGTCGCACCAATTCACGATCAAGGGTTATTCGTTGGCGAAAGGGATGGGTCCTGGGAAATGTATATCCAGCGATGTTTTTACCGTCGGAGGTTACGATTGGGCGATTTACTTTTATCCCGACGGTAAAAATCCGGAGGATAGTGCGATGTATGTTTCGGTTTTCATTGCGCTGGCTAACGAAGGTACAGATGTTCGAGCGCTTTTCGAGCTCACCCTTGTTGACCAGAGCGGGAAAGGGAAGCATAAGATTCATAGTCACTTTGATAGAGCGTTGGAGAGTGGGCCTTATACGTTGAAGTATAGAGGAAGCATGTGGTAAGAATTTTGAGTTTTATAATTTAGGGGTTTGGTTAATAATTTGGGTGTATATGTTGGTGAATTTTAATCGAAAACTGGGTTCAGCAATTTGTCTATTGCTATTTGTTGTCATAATTTTTTCCTTACCATGATCGTGTTTGAGGTATATATTCGAGTCATTCATGTATGTGCTGTCTTGTAGTTATCTTTCTGTAAGGTCCATTGTAAAGGGAATATGGAATTGTTATTATGCTTTTGTTTGATGAAACTGATAAATTTGGGTGCTGTTTTAGGACATGGCAATTGGGAAGCATTACGTTATTGGCAAATTCTCTTTCACTTAATTTTGAGGATCTAAGCATTACACTGAAATTTATCTGTGTCCAATAATTATGAAGTAGTTAAAAACCACATAGAATCTGTTGCATAACTTAAGCAAACCTGAACAAGCCCCAATGAGGCAATGACATAAACCAAGGAAATGAAACCTGGCTCTTTTAGATGAAAAGTGCTGGTGATTTCCATTTAATTTCACTTTAAATGTTATATGCATCTGTGTTTTTGTTGAAATATGTGCATATTCTATTGTTGAGCATCTAAGTTTCTCTACGTCTTACTGTAATATTCTTTTCATGATATGTTAAATTTATATGTTCACTGGATATGGTACATGTATAAGTCCATATCATATTTAATAAGGATGATTTTACCTTCTTTCTTCCATGCATTCAGGGGATACAAACGATTCTTTAGAAGAACAACTTTAGAAAGTTCTGATTACATAAAGGACGATTGTCTAATCATGAACTGCACTGTTGGAGTAGCCAGGACTCGCCTTGAGGGGCCAAAACTGTCTTCTATTCCTGTACCACCATCAGACATGGGTCAGAATCTGAGAGTTTTGCTAGATTCTGAAAATGGCTGTGATATAGTTTTTAAAGTTGGTGACGAGACGTTTAAAGCACATAAGTTGATCCTTGCTGCACGCTCGCCTGTTTTCAAAGCACAGTTTTTTGGGCTTGTTGGGAATCCTAACTTGGATGAAGTAATAGTTAAAGATTTTGAGCCTTCTATCTTCAAGGTGATGCTCCTTTTTACTTTCTTTTGGACTTTGAAGAATGGACCTACAACTAGTGTATTGCATAAACAAACCCTTGAAAGAAATTTGTTAGATGCATATTTTTATTAAAATTTGTTATACATAATACATAATCTTTTAAAACTTCTTTTTAAATACAACCAACCTTCAACTGGTAACCGGCTTTGAACCATTGCCAAGTATAGATTTTAGCTATCTAGATGTGCTGCTTAATATTCTTTTTTGGCAAATCAACTCGAACAAGAATTCATCTTAACCTTTGTCTGTTCTTCCAGGCAATGCTCTTATTTATTTATACCGACAAGCTTCCTGATGTACAAGAGATTACAGACTCAACATCCATGTGTTCATCAACCAACATGGTGCAGCATCTTTTGGCTGCTGCTGATCTGTACAATTTAGATAGACTCAAAGTGTTGTGTGAGGCAAAATTGTGCGAAGAACTAAATGCTGACACGGTGGCAACGACCCTCGCACTTGCTGAGCAGCACCATTGTGCACAGCTGAAGGCCATATGTTTGAAATTTGCTGCAACTCCGGTGAACTTGGGAGGTGCGTGTTTGTACTAGATGATACAGTGCAAATTCCTCCAGGTTATGTAAACTTGGTTTTGTGTATACAACTTTAGAATTATTTTTGTGCTTCCTCGTACATGTCTAGCTCTTGATGATGGATTCTTATATTTCAATTTTCAAGTACCAAACCATCTTTATGGTTAATTTACATAATCCCTTAACCCTCACACAAGGTTTAGATAAAACTGGTATGTGAAATGCTGGGAAACGGATTAGAGCACAATATTCCTGTGGTCAAAGCTGCTCAATGCTTTGGATATTGGAATGTATCCTCGAAAATTAGTTCACCTGAATGTTATTTTGTTGGACACACAAGTTCATTATTTGTCGTCTTTTGGAGTCAATTCTGTTACAATTATTTGTTTTCTTTTTACCTAAGCTTGGCCTATCAATTGTTCGGCAATGGTAACATGTAAGTTAATTTATATTCCCTAATGTCTTTTTGCAGCGGTAATGCAATCGGAAGGGTTCAGGCACTTGGAGGAATCTTGCCCGTCTTTGTTGTCGGAGCTGTTGAAGGCCTTTGCTTCCAGTGAGGAGAGCTTAAGCCTGCTATCAAGTCGGAAGAGGAGTGCCAACAGTGTATATGGGATGGATCATGCAGCGGAAGGTCCTGTGGCAGAACCCATGAACCCGAACCCGAATGCAGGCGAGTTCGGAGACGCTGATTTGCTATGGTATTTGCAGTGTTTCGGGACATGGGATTGAAATATTGGAAGGAGTGCCTTGTACTGTATTTACATGGTTAACATGATAATTAGAACTTGAAATGGATTTTTGGTTCTATGTAAAAAGGGACTATGTTTTCTTGAGGTTGAAATGTATTTACTCCTTGTTTCTGTAATCCGGAAAATGTGACCTAACATCTTATCTTGTTAGATCAATCGAGAGATCAATCGATATAAGACCAACTGATAAAATGTGACCTAACATCTTGTTAGATCAATTGAGATAAGACCAATTGATAAAATGTGACCTAACGTCTTATCTTGTTAGATCAATCGAGATAAGATCAAGTGATAGCCGGTATTTGTCTCGTCTTTTTAGTCCAAAGAGAAAAGGGCATCTCAAGCAATTTGGCTTCGATTTAAAATAATAAATTGATTAGGAAGTTAATTTGGATGTACAATGATCTAAAGCAATTTAGCTTCGATTTAAAATAATAAATAATTAATTGATTATGAAGTTAATATGAACATCTTATACAACTACAAAAGTATCACAGCAGTTTCCAAATCTAAAAAATTAGATAAATAAAATTGATATATATGTATATATATTAGTACAAAAGATAGCAGCCCAGGATGTAGGCTATATATAATTCCGGTTGAGGAGGCCACAGGATCCGCCTGGACCAGTTCGCAAACCGCTGCAGGAGGGGAATTGAAAGAGTGAAAGTCGAATGGCAAAGACCAAGCTGCTCTAACCATTCCGTCAGCAATCTTGTTACAATCCCAAGACAGTACTCCAGGAATGAGCAATTAACTCACGGATGCACATCACCATTGGGGAGCTAAAACCCGACCATTGAAGAGGATCAATTGCCGAGATCGCCTGCTTGCTGTCCGATTCTACAACTAAAGTTTGAATACCCAACTCCCATGCCATCTTCATCCCCTCAAATATTCCCCACAACTCAGCATCCAAGGTCAAACAGACACCGACGGCTTTGGAGAATCCGGCCACTCAACTACCAGCTGAGTCCCTAATTACACCGCCGCACGTTCTCAGTCCCGAATCCGTTCGCCAAGAGCCATCACTATTCAGTTTATACCATCCCTGCTGAGGAGCCTACCAACACAGTGGAAGTTTCTGCGGCCGCATCCTCGTAAACTACTGCATACGAAGGCGGAGAAGCTCTTGCAGCATCCGAATACTTCTTTGAAGAACACTTTCTACTTCCATAAACTCCATGTCAAAGATCAATCTATTTCTTCAAATCCAGAGATTCCATAAAATCAGTACAAAGAATAGGTCCCAATCAACAGGATTAAGCGGGAAACGCAGTGGTTCGAAAGATTACGCTCGACCCCAGGAAACAAATCTAGCTGGTAAAACTTAGCTTGATATTTGCGTTTGATCACCCTATTCCAAACAGACCTGGCTGGCAAGCAATACAGGAGAACGTGGACGGTTGATTCGACTGCCGCACCACATCTCAAACGCCCTGCATCGGAAGCCATGTGCCTCCTCACTCGTTCTTCATTCGAGAGAAGGCTGCACCTGCACACAATCCAAAGGAAATTTTTAACTCGGGGGAAACCATTGTGCCCAGCAGTACTCTTCCAAATCGGATCCCCTTCCACGACATCCAAATTGCATCGACGGCTATAAGCACTCTTGGTAGAGAAGATGCGCTTATTTTTCCCATTTCCATCCCGGATTATCCGTATCACCATGAAGCAAAGGCTATCAAGCATACCAATATCAGATAGGAAATAGTTGCGGACGTGGTACATGTACCCCACCTCACCAACGAATGAGAAAAGCTTGGTATAATACTCAACTACCATGACACGGAGGCTCGAATCATCTGTACACCAACTACCATCGTCCCCACGAAGGGAGCGAGTTGTGTTAATTCTCCTTCTATTACGAGCACAAGCATGGAAATACTTAGCATTACGGTCCCCAGATAAAACCTAGTTACATCTCGACTTTTGTTTCCAAATAGACTCCTCATGTTCAAGAATAATATCAAGTTCTTGCCGAAGCATTTCCTTAAGATTGCTCAAGAAATTCGAATCGCATTGGGCAAGGTCTCGATCGATGCCCCGTAGTCTAGCAATGATAATTTTTTCCGCTCGTCAATCATCCCAAAGGTGTGAATATTCCAATAAGCCAATTTCAATTTTAGATTTTCAAGATTGCCTGGAGCATCCACATTACTTTGCCAAGCCGCCTTTAGAATGTTGGGAAAGTCAAGGTGGTCTTGCCAAGAAAAGGAAAACGGCATTCACTAGAAACCTATCCAAGCGTTGGCTTAGTGTGCCACAGACCCATGTGAAAGCGGGAACATGAAAACCGAGATCTCGAAGGGCATTATCAAAAACAAAGTTGGCAAAGCTTCGGCTTGGTGCAATTCGGTCACTTGCACAACAAATTCTCTCATCTCGGTGGAGCAAAGAATTGAAGTCCCCTCGGAGTAACCACGGATTATCCCCACCCAGATCAAGCTCAGCAAGCTGAGTCCAAAGGAACCTGCGAAATGTAGCAGTAGGGTTTGCGTACACCACAGTAATTGTAGCACCTAAATCACACATATTCGAATGTCACACGAACTTTTAAAAGTGAATACCCAAAAAATTTCCCTATAATTCATACTTGCTTCAAAATATTTATATAAAATACAAATCGCAACAATTTATAAAAACAGGACCCCAATTTAAAAACTCGATAAATAAAATAAATAACCCATATATATATATATATACAAAATGACTCCTTTCAAACCATGAGCTCTAGATGCCCATTAAGACGACATTGATGTTCTCTGGTACTTAGTTGAGACTCCTCTGTTGATCTCGTTGTCCCATCATGATCTACGAAACCTGACACCTGCGAACAGAAACACATTCCGAACGCTGAGCTCACAAGCCTCGCGTCATACAATACCTCTACCATACTACATGCATTCATCAAATGATCATGTTGACAAGCGAAAATATGTGCATGCAAATACATTCAAACATACTGAGAGGTAAGTTTAGTGGTGTGGTTGGAGGAATTACGTGTATCTCAGGACGACACCCCTAGCTTACCTAACATCTTATGTATATACAGAAACATATCAACAAACATGAGATAGGTCTAGCAATGTGGTCGGAGGAATTTACGTGCATCTCGGACAACATACTAGCATATCTAAACACAATAGCTTCGAGGTAAGAATTGAAATTTGCATGCATCAAAACTTTTAGCCCTTAGTCTACCACAGATCCTCGAGAGGTCAGGGTGAGGTCCGAAATTTATGTGCATTGAAAGCTCACATCCCTATCCCACAGATACGGGCTCTCGAGCGTAAGGTACAATGCTGGAATTTATGTGCATCGAAATTCGTATCGTTACGATAGGTAATTTACGTGCATCAGATGTGTACCCAAACAAAAGATATTCGCCTATCAACATAACATAACATAACAGACAAACATCATAATGCTAGAGTAACTCGGGTGTCCTAATCGTTTCTCGGGTATCAAACAAAGGCTAGTTTTATGTCATTTTATTTCATAACGTTACTAGTCGAGTTGATCATTATCAATGATATCCCAAATTAAGGGTTTAAGTATTTAAGCAAATCAATTAATGGACCAAATTGAACTCATTCAAAAATGCTAAGGTCAAGACAACATTTCTCAATGCTTTAAACCCCTAAAGAATGCAATTTCACCCTTTTCTATCTAGCAAAACAACGAAGGGATCAATCCTTTGCACAACAGAAAGTTTGGGATCGATCTTTTTGGTTGAGGGATCAATCTTTTTTCTCGAGGGATCAATCCTATGCACAACAGAAAGTTTGGTATCGATCCTTTCGAGGGATCGAACCTTTTTTTCAAGGGATCAATCCTATGCACAACAGAAAGTTTGGTATCGATCCTTTCGAGGGATCGATCATTTTTTTGGGAATAACTTGCTTAAGCTCAGGAAACACCTAAAAATCAACCTAACAATTCCCCTAAGACTAGTAAACATGTTCAACATCTTATTTAGTATCTTAAAGGTCAAAAGGTAATATCTTTAATGCTTGCAACACACAACCATATAATATTACATGAATTATTTATACATGCATGCTTCATGAACTCAAACCCCCACATGATTTCCTTGCCCCATACATGAAACATGTTCATTTAGATGACATTACAAGTAGTAAATAAGAGTTATAGTGTGTTACCTCAGCTCCTAGCAACTCAAAAATGTCTATAGCTTATCCAATGATCAACCTTACCTTGACTTAGCTCAAGGGGGATTCTTGTACTATTTTCCCATCACTCAAAAGTCACCGTAGATTCCAACATGAATATGAAGGACACTAGGTGTTAAATAACAACTAAACTATATTAAAAATCAAATAGAAATCATGGGAGGAAGCTCTTGAAGCTTAAACCCTCCCAAAACCTAAAATGAGTTCATGGACACCATTGAAGAAGATGGTGAGCTTTTCATAAAGCTTAAGAATCCTAGATTAAGAATCTTACCTCTAAATTTTGGATTTAAGGAGATAAAGAAAGGTGAAGCCATTCCTTTTGTTCTTGCTTGAGTTGAGAGAAAGAGAAGGAAGAAAGTGAAGGAAGAAGGGAAGATGAAGAAGGAAATGAGCCTTTTTGGCTCACCAAAAAAAAAAAACCCAATCAACCAAATCAACCATGTTTTTCTTCAATGGTTTAATTACATTTTATGTTCTTCCTCTTTCACCACAAGTTTAAAAAACTCTTTTTTATCTTCTACAAGACTAATTTCTTAATCGATTAGACTCAAGTTCGAACCAGAGGACACTCGTAATATAATAAATCTATCAAATAAATTATTGGATCGACACGAAACTACTAAGCTGACGGGTGTTACAGTAACAAAAATATCTCTCGACAACTCCTGGGATCGGATTAATGCATGCACTAACTGATTCGAAACGAATAGGATATCAACAATAATACCATCCTTCCAAAGAATCCAGATACCACCGCTGAAACCATGGGCTTCCACTCAGAAAGAATCCGTAAAGCGCAGCCTCAACAAAATATCATCCGCATGATTGCCACTCATTCTAGTTTCCAACAAAGCAACCATAGGTGGGTTAAACTACCTAATAAACTCCTTGAAGTGACGAAGGTAAGAAGGGCTAGCAACACCCTGTCTATTCCATAGCATGCAACTAAACATAATTCAACAGACAGGACAGAAAAACAATGAACAGATGGGATTAACCTCCCTCGGTTTGGTTCTGTCTCTGGCGCATTCATTTCCATGTCCCGCTCTACCACACCATTAGGAGGAGCACAAACAACAGTTTTCCCAGCTGCATCTAACACGGAAGTAGCAGACTGGATCCAATCGCTCAACAAAGCACGACCGCCCAGTTTAGGAGGAGTATGCTTTTTGGTCCGAACAGGCTTAGAAACTCCAGCTTTGATTCCCTTAGCGAGGATAGACGTTTTAAGGTTCCCACGCTCTTTAGTTGAGGATCGCTGTAAAATATGATCCTCAATAATCTTGACAACTCTGTGATTACCCTTAGTTCCACTGTGCTCCGCGATCGATACGTGAGGAACGAGCCCCACCACCGTCGGTTGGACTTGAAACGAACTTCGCTTAGGCTGAGCGTCAGCAATACCCTTCTCCTTTAATGGACTCCTTGAAGGATCTCTAGGCGCAACAATATAATTAGATTATATGATAAATATTACTCTAATCCCTCAAAAATTAATATTTCAATTTTAGTCCCTCTAAATATAATTTCTGACTTTGCTCCTAACTTTGATCGAAGGGCCGCTATATGTGCCTTGTCATTCGTTTTTTCTGTTGTTTTCTCTCTCTGGCTATGGAAAAACAGAAACTCTCACACAAAACAATCACCAAAATTCTGGAATTTCACTAATCACAGTTTGCCAATCCATAATCAAAAATTAATCGAGTAATCAATCCCTTTATGGTTAGTCTCTTCTCTTCCTTCACTCTTTAATTTATGAATTTTAATTTCTAATCTCTTTTCAAAATTAGAATTATTATGCAATGATCGTTAAATTGAGTTTAGAATTTCACGGTAATGTTAATTCATTTTTCTCTCCATATAGTGTTTTTCGATAAAAGGAAAGTGTAAATGGCATATAAAGTGGATCACGAATACGACTATTTATTCAAGATTGTGCTAATCGGAGATTCGGGCGTCGGAAAATCGAACATTCTTTCGAGATTTACAAGAAATGAGTTTTGCTTGGACTCCAAGTCTACTATCGGTGTTGAATTTGCAACAAGGACTCTTCAGGTTATCTATATATGTACATAAGTGGTTGTTTTTAATATAATTTAACATTCGTCACATCCGCAATCACCGTAAATTGTACGTGCAATCGCAATTTTTGTTCAGGTAGAAGGGAAGACGGTTAAAGCGCAGATATGGGACACGGCCGGTCAGGAGCGGTACCGAGCGATCACGAGCGCTTACTATAGAGGAGCAGTCGGAGCGCTTCTCGTCTACGACATAACCAAAAGGCAAACGTTCGACAACACCGTGCGATGGCTCAAGGAACTGCGAGACCACGCGGGTTCGAATATCGTCGTGATCATGATGGTGGGGAACAAATCTGATCTCAACCATCTCCGAGCGGTGTCGAAGGAAGACGCCGAGAGCTTGGCCGAAAAGGAAGTACTATTGTTCCTCGAGACATCGGCACTCGGAGCTATCAACATAGAGAAAGCTTTCCAGAAGATATTGATGGACATTTATCAAATATTGAGCAGAAAAGCTTTGGCAGCACAAGAAAATCCGCCTACCCTTCCTCGAGGAACAAGCATCACTCTCACGAAGACGAACCAAAATAGAAATAAAGTTGCTTGTTGTTCTCCTTAGAAGAAATGATTTTTTTTCGAAAATACTTTATTTACATGTTTTTTTTTGTGCGTTGATTTTTGTTATTCGAACTCGAGACCTGTAAGGAAGAGTTATTAAGAAGGCCTAAGTTTTGGTACTACAAAAAGTTGTTTAACCTTACGAGTTCGATTTATATTTCGAAATGCTCTTTGATTGGATTTTATTTATTTTTATTTATACTAATAATTAAAATTTTGATTGGGTTTACTTGTTCCTTAAATTATACACTTTTTACTGAGTTATCCCTTAAAATATTTTTCGAAATATTTTATTCTTTGAATTTGAACAATTAACTCGTTTATCACACACCGCTACTACCATTAAAAGAATCAAAGATAAATTACATATTTAATCACTCAACTATTCCTATAATTTTGTTTAGATCACTAAAATATTTTTGTTCAAAATTATTACTGAACATAAAATTTTATTCCGTTCTGATAATTAAATATTATATCTAATTGCTTAAAAAAGTTATTCATTTTGTTTAAATAGTTGTGAATAGTCTCAAGTAAATAGTTAAGACTTTATTTTTATATTAAAAATTGCAGACTTGGGCTTTTAATGATTTTTAATTTAATTTCAGTGACGGACGCAGAAATTTATATTAAATGTGAAATTATAAAATGTCAAGAGACGAAATTAAATAATTAAAAATATAAATATATATAAAATAGAAGTGAATTTAAATTTGTTGAGTGCAATCAGATCTAAACCTCGAATCCCGAACTCCAAACCCTAAAAATATAAGAGAATTTAAAATACATACGGTGTTAATACAGATCTTAGATCAAACCCAACCCATGAAAACGTCTACTATGGGTATAAAGAGGCACGAGAGTTGTTGAGCCTTATAATTCAATTTGTCACTCAAAATGAATTCCTTTCAATGTTTTGTTGGATTTGTCTCAACACGTTCCAAAAACAAGAATTCACTTGCTCGTCAATGCTTTGCCAATGTCGAAATTCATAACTGAAAGTGTTTGCCTAAACTAGCAAACCCTCCCGAAAAAACCGACAATTCGGAAGCCTAATGTAGGCGTCTGAGGACCTTGGAGAAGTTGCCTCGGTCGGTAAACTAAATGAATCCATGTTGTCTCTGTTACATGAACATGGCACAGAGATTCGGCCTCATTTCTTGATTAATCTCAAGACATCGCCGACGAGATGCAAGGAACCGGTGACGAGGACCTAATCAATCAGAGAAGGGAAATTACAAACCCAAGATGAACAAAGGAGGGTCATAAGCATTAAAGAAAAAGTTGCAACCGAACCACGACATGAATACTTCAACAAGACCCGATAAAACGAGTATAAATGGGGTGTGCCTATAGTCAAGTCCTATGCTTAAAATATTTAGCATGTAACGGAGACACATCTGAAATGTCCAACGTTCATCGATTAGGTACTCTTTTGACGAATTATTCTAACCAAAGAAAAGAGGATACAACTTTTACAATATTAAGACTGGCAAATCGGTGGATCGATTCATGCATAACCTGAAAAAAAGGTTGAAATCCGTAAAGTACTCTAAAGTACCATAGCTAGGAACTCAACCTGAAGTATTCTAACCTTGTTATATACAAAATGCAGGTAAATATTGACGAACATGAACATATAATCTCGAGAATTACCTGAAACCGAACAAAGCGGTCCTTCTGGGCAGTATCCCTGAGCCATTTAATAGCGGATGGTAGAGAAGAAAAGACAGAACTGTTTTTACAACACCTAACGCTCATTCCTGTATCGTCTTTCACTTCTTCAATAACTTGATCGGTGTTACAGGCCTCCCCTCCTAGCATATGCAGAAAACTATCGTCTTAAAGAAAACTAAACAAAAGCACCCATGATTATGCACCATGTCTCTAATTACTTTGCACATTTTGCGATGATCATTATTAAAATCAATTCACTCATATGATCAAACAGATAATGGAACATTAATATAAGGGAAGTGAATCCCATTAGAAATAAAAATATGGGGAAAGAAAAAAGCATTTTACGACGAAAAGGTTGCAGTCTTTATTAGTTTAAAGTTACAATCCAACAGGGTTCACAAACTATGAATTTTGAAAAATAAGAAGAATGTGATGCCATGTATTAGGTAGATACCTTTATCATTCTGCAGAAGGTTTTCCCACACTCTTTGAAGAGCAAATTGCCATGACAAATCAACTTGAGGATCGACTGTAGGCAAAGTATTGGATCCAACCTTGTGATACACTGATATGTTCGGCACAAAGAGAGCCTTCCTGAAACGGACACCTGAAAAGACAATTAACAGATTGTAAAAAACATAATATATAAATTTCTTTGTCCAAGCAAGCATCCTGCTATCCCCTTGACATGAAATGTGAAGTTTCTTCTAGTCAAGATGAATCCTACCTTTTATTCAATGCAAAGAAGAATATAAGTTTCTCTCTATTATCTATGTCGGTCTGAATCTTTGTTTTTCTTAAAGTAGCCGTTTTGACATCCATGTCCAACATATATTCAGAAATGGGTATGGAGATGTAACCCTCCAAGTATATGGATTAAAGCACTTGAACATAATCATTCCCCTTAAATACCAGTTTTTCATGAACTTCAAATGCATTTATGATCTTTCCATCACATGGATATAAAATTCTAACTAACACAATTACCATGGCTGGAACATGTCCTCAACAAGCGCGGCAGAAGCAATTGTGGATCTCTCACCGACATACAATTGAACAGCAGAATCTGCACGTAATTCTCGAAAACTTTAGTCCACATCAGCAAGAGCCAAGATGCAGACCAAATCTAGTTTACAGCTTGAAATTCAAAAAGTCATGATAAAACCAAGCACAAAAATATAAATTAGATATACATGCACGCGTGTTAGAAAAATGTGAACAATTTACAGCTCAAGGAATAATCAAAATATACGTTTAGTTTACTCTCGCTTCATGTTAGTTTTATAAACTCAATCATCAAACTTATGAGTTCCGAAGCTTTCTGAAAACCCAATACCCTCCAAGGTTAAGATTATCCTTAATACTATTAACTCATAAGCAAAATACAAGTCAGCACCATACTCTACGTCTTTGATTGTTTCTTTTGACTTGCTAAAATAGAAAAGCTTGAATAGCGGATATAATGAGACCAAATGTATAAATTATGAGAATATTATCTAATTCAAGAACACTGATGTCCATAAGGAAGAAGTACTCTCTTTTACATATAAGTTCTTAACACTGGAAATTATTGTGGACCAAAGTAGGGTACTCTACCTGTGCGGTATCCTTGGATCTTTCGTCCGATTGCTGTTGTGCCTCAGAATTCTGGTTTGATTGGTGATTATCATCCCTAGTGCAAAGGGAAAACCACCTCGCACAAGCTTCCATGCTTTCAGGACTGTGAGCTCCATCCAAATAAAAAACCAGATTTTCAATGTCAGGAAATTGATCACGGACAATCTGAGCCCGCCCTTGCAAACTAGCTGTTGTTAAGCCCTTAATAAAGGGTTCAGGTAATGGACCCTATTCCAAGGAAATAAACTTCTAAGAAAACAGTAGTTAGAATGCAGACAAAGAAAGCCTCTAATAAATAGAACCCACTGTTTGATTGAAATTGGTGATAGGATGACCAGTCCTCTGAAGCCAAGCAGTACACAATGCGACAGCAAGACCAGCATTTAAATATTGATGTTCACCTTCAAGTGCAAGCTTCAGACCATTCAGCGAACTTGCATCAATTGGCTGCGCAACTTGAAGGTTTACCTGTGAAGAACATAATCATCTTCAGACTAGCATAACTTATATCCTTTAGAACAAGGCTAAATCCAGAATTTGAATACAAGTTGAGTCACGCATTTAAATTTTTCGTAAGGGAATTTAGAAATGAAAGGATGACAAAACTTACATTCAACTTCGAAGCTTTCTCTTCAAGCACCTGC